AACCAACCTCCGTCCTCCAGACCAGCTGGTCACTCTGGTCCTCATTGGTCTTATAGATCTCCATGAAAGGGTCAGACTTGCTGAACAGATCCTGGGGATACAAGGGAAATGTCCCCTGAGTCTGGTGAGGGCTGTAGCAGGGTGGGGGAGGGGGCTACCACTGAGAAGAGAGCAGGTCTGGGCCCCTGGGATCTGTCTTGAGTGGGAGGTCCAGGACTAGCAGAGGAGATGGGGGGCTGGGCTCTGGGGTTCCAACCTTGTTGTCCAGCTTGTGGGCTCTGAAGGTGAGTTGCACATAGTCATTGGTGCCAGATACTTCCTCAGCCACGACCTGCAAAGGGGATACAAGTGGCAGAACTCCCCTCCCCAAGCACAAAGGCCACCCTAAGCCCTTTCCCTTAGGTTGGAGTGGTCCTGAGCATGATGTCACCATGGATGTCCATGCAGGGGCATTGAATGTCTGGTCCAAGGGTGAGTACAGGTGACCTTGCCTACCGTGATGGTGGACTTGCCCGCAGTCTTCCCATTCTTCAACAGCAATGGCTTAGTGACCTTGGTTTGTGACACAATCTAGGGATGGAGGTTTAGGGAGATCCAGCTGTGATGTCCCCGCTTGGTTGGCCACAAAGAGGGGTGGAATAATGAGTGCCCTCTAAGTGTCCACAAGGGTTGGCTCTTTCGCTTGGGGGCAGGACGGACTCAATTTCTACAGCAGCTGTAAGAGAGAGGCACTATGACCTCCTCCACCATTTTTAGGTGGGGAAACCAAGACTCAGAGAGGTCAAGTATCTTGCTCAAGGCTGCGCAGTCAATGAACAGCCGAGGTGAGATCCAATCCCACTTGAACTAGCTCCAGAGCTCATGCTCTCTCTTATTTTGGCTGCCAGAGGCAGAAGCTGATGGGGGTAGGGTGGGGTGGGATGGGTGGGGAATGCAGACCTGGCCCAAGGTACACTCCATAGAGCCGAGGAAAGTGTCATTTCGGGGGCTGGTGGCTCCGTCCTCAGCATCGAACACGTGAAACTGCAGGGGCTGCTTCTCCTCAAAAAAGTACTCAAGGGCTAGCACCCGGGAGAAGACGGGGCTGGAACAGGAGCGAAGCACCTCTGTGCGCTCCACCTGTGGCATGGGGGCAGGGTGAGGGCTCTCTGTGGACTGAGGCTGCTTTTCCCTGCCCTGGACCATGGGACCACCCTGGTCATGCCGGCTCTTCTTGGGCTGTACATCCCCAGAGACTAGCTCTTCTCTTCCTACGCTGACCCCCAAGCTCAGGCGCCACCTGCCCACTAGACCCTCAGTCCTTCAGGGATATCATAAGGCCTTTGGGAGTGATCCTACTGCCTTTGGGGCAACCTCAGGCCCCTCTGGGACTCTGTGGGCTTTAGAAGCTGTAAAATGGTTTGTATTTGTAATGATGGCACACTCATCTCCAAGGTTACCCACATGGCCTAGAAAAGGCCCCACCCCCACCCTGGGAGTCCTCACATTCCCTGAGGCTTTCACTGCCCCCACCCCAGCCTCCTTCCTTCCCAGGCTTAACCCAGGTTAGTTAAGGAGAAACCCAAGGCGCTCTCACCTCCACCCACTGCTCATCAGAGTAGAGCTTGAGCAGCACGCAGGGGTGGGGCTTGGTGAGTGTGTCCCGGTCCAGGAGGCCGTGGCAGGACACCCGAAGCTCCACCCGCGAGGCCCCCAGTGTCATGGTTGGGGGCTCAGGTACCCATTCCATCTCAGGGTCTGCCATGTCACTGTGGGTACAGAGCAGGTGGACTGGACCTTAGAAAGGGAACACCTGCCAGGGGATGGGTCTGTCCTCCAGGAGCCTGGCACCAGCCCCTTGCCCTCCTTCCTGAGTCCCTGGGCTCTCACAGGCCTCCTGCTTCCCAGCCCTCCACTGGCTTCCCTGGAGCTCCAAGCAGGGGAGCGCAGATGCCCTGTGCCTCCCACCCCTGCACAGGAGCACCGAGCTTGTCACATCTGCCAGGCTAGGTATGCGGGGCTGGGGCTGGAGTGGGCTGGAGGGCTGGGTTGTTCCTGGCAGTCTTGGCTCCCAGGCCATCGATTGATCCACACTTTCTGCTGCCTCAGCACCTTCTGCTGTTTCCCGACTGGTGTCTGAGCCAGCGCTGCACTCAGTCTTGGCACGAGGGAGCTGAACTGGGGCAAGGGAGTGGGGCAGGGGGTGGAGAGGCCCCTGGAGGTCTAAAGATGGGTCTCAGGTGTGGAGTCTGCAGTGGGCAGGAGACAGGAGACGGGCCCTGCATGGCTGTCCCTGTCCACTCCCTGCCCCCACTCACCTTCTGGCTGGCTGATGGAACAGAGGGGGTGTGGGCTTGAGGAATTGGGGGAAGGACCTCCGGGGCTCTGCTGAAAGCTCCTCCAGCCTCCTGGCAGGGGCTGCCACTATGACAAGCCTCACAGCCCTCCCCACCTCCCCTGTTCTCACACTTCTTGGCAGCACTCACACTGTCTCTTAGCGACAGGATTTTTGGGGAGCCACAGCCCCCTCCATGCTGCTCGTGGGATGCACGCACGCCACCCTCCCCCAGCAGTGGTACCAAGCCTCGGGCAGCAGCAGGCAGGGGTACGCCGGCCCCAGTTCATGGCTGGTCAGTCCATCTATTTGTGTCTGTCCAGATCTCAGGGTGAGGTTGTCTGATCCCATGTCATGCTTCCCCGAGCGAATGTGCCTTGGTGTGTCTGAGTGCCCCACCCTCTGTGTCTGTCCCTCCAGCCCCTGCCCGTCCTGTGTCCATCTCCAGGAGGGTGTGACAGTTCTCGTACCTTCCTTAGAACCGGGACTGCGGCTGAGTACCCACCACCCCACAGTGTATGCCTTTCTGGATATGTGAGGGAGGGTCTGCGTGGGAGTGGGGGGGGGCTCTGTCTTTCAGCCACAAGTCTCCCAGTTATCACGGGTCCCTGGGATAGGCAGGGGCATGTGGTGGTGAAGGGATCCAGCAGAGCTTGGACCTCTCTGGGGGCTACAGGAGATGTTGTCATGGAGACCGGCCCAGGCCGGGCCGGGCCGGCAGGGGCTGGGCTCGGGAGGAATGGTGGGCTCACCTGGGCTTTCAGCTGGGGGCTCCTCTCTCCGGCTCTCGGGCCCTGGCCCTGTCTCCCTTGCTGCTCCAGCCGCTGGCGCCGGCTCTGGCTCCGGCTCTGCTGCTATTTATGGGGCCTGGATGGGGAGGGGTGGGGGGGCCGCAGCACCAGCTCCCCCCGCACAGACAGATTGGGAGGGAGAAGAGGGAAGGGGCAGGGCCACTGCCTGGGAGGGAGCCACAGAACCAGGCAAGGAGGGTGGGCTGGGGGTGGCTCCGAGGCAGGACCCCCGCAGACACAGTGACACACATCTTCCCCTTCACGCCACACCCACACCCAGAATCACAGGGATGCACACATTGCAGTGGTGCGTGCACACACACACATTCACACAGGGAATGATGGCGACACATGCACCCACGACTCACAGGCTCACACATATCTTGACACGCACAGGCGCCAGTACATAAACTCACCATGACACCATGACAGTTACAGCCCCACTGATACACACTGGGAAACACACTCGGTCGCACAACACTTTCAATATCATTACTTGTCAAGGATATAAAAAAACACTGGGCTGTCCTTGTCACACACACACACACACACGCACACACTCAGTCACACCAACCTGGAATACAACAGAATGTAGATCTTCATGTGTTCCTTAAAAACCATCACGTACCTTGCTGAACCTCATAGCTTTGAGAATGATGTCCAGTTCCTGAGCCACCTTATTGTAATGAGACACAGGAAATGGACACGACTGCTTAAGGACACACAGCTTCACATCCTGGTCACGCAGCCCCTGAAGACAGTGCTGCACAGGGGCAGGGTGGGGAGGGGGGGGCGTGTGCTGAGGAACTGACTCCCAAGCCATCTTCCTGGTGCCATAATGTCCCCAACACCCCCCAAGATTCAACCCATATGGCCATATCCTTGTGGGAGGGGCCGGGCCATGCACAGATCTTACGGAAACAAGACATTAGTCATTCCTAGTGTGACCAGGGTGAAGTAAGCAATTGCCTGGGGAGCTGCCAGCTACACGTGAAGACATCTGGGCACGTGGTGATTTGGGATGAGTATGCAAGAGCATTCACTGGGGCACCTTCACCCTCCATCCCCTTAAGCTGCTCATGTATTAGTGTGGCTGCCATTTCTTGAGCATCTCCCCACATCAGGCACTGTGCCGAGTGCTGGGGACACACAGGTAATTAAGACACAGTCCCTGCCTGCTCCTGGGGAGGCAGATGTATATGGAACAGAGAGATAGAGAGACGATGAGCCATTACACAAATGCGGTTAAGTGTGACAGATGCGAAGTTATGGCCCTGCTCAGGATGCAGTGGGGGCACATTAAAGGAGGGTTCAGTTTGAATGCGTGGGGAAGGAATCAGGAAGAGCTCCACAGAGGAAGAGGCTTTTGAGTGGGGCCTTGAGTGCCAAGGTGGTGTTTGTTAGGACGCCACAGGAAACAGTTTAATTGCTGACCTTCTCATGCTGTAGACTTCTGCTCACCTACGAGCCGCCCTACTGTGAGAGTTTTGACTACTGAGGGAGCCCCAGGATGACACAACACCATGCGATTCCACTGTTAGCATGCATACGTGTGCGTGCACACACACACACACACCCTGCCACACTGGAGTCTTCCAATCCCATTATGTCCCCCAAAGCCAGACAGACACTGGTGTTACTTTTTGTCATTTTGGTTCCTTCTCCGGCCGCGTCAGCCCTGACCCTGCACAGAACACCCACCCTAGCCTGGGGACCTGTCAGTCTCCTTCCCTTGGCAGTTCTCCATTCTTTCCCCTTCTGCTCTTGGGGCCCTAGCCCCATCCCTGGGGGTGTTCCTCACTTCCCTACTGTGGCCAAGCTCTGGGGGCTTGTGGGAAGGGAACAGATGGTGGGGGCAGAGAATGGGGAAGACAGCAGAGACTGGAGGCAGGCAGTGATTTTGTTTTTTTTATTCTATACAAGTGGGGAGGGAGCCCCTGGGGATAGAGGGACAGAGATCTGCCCTCTCAGGGGAGGAGACAGACCTCCACCCCAAAGCTATCGCAGGGTGAGGCATTGAGAGCCTCCCTTTCTCCTCCCTCCTGGCCCCCTGCCTCCTGCTCCCCAACACTTGGTCCTGCTATCCTACCCAGTAGGACAGGGCCTGGCAGGGGGCCTGGGGGAGCCAGGGTAGATGGGGGTCTGAGTCCTTGTGAGGCACATGTCGAGAGGAGGGCTGGGAAGGGTGTTGTGGCAGCTGTCAGTCTGTTCCTGGCTCACTGGTTCCTGTTGGGGACAAATCCAGGGAGTCTCATTTCCTGGGCAGGGAGAGTCAGCTACCCGGTGTTGGGGCTTGGGGGGCGGGTGCCATGTTGGACAGAGAGGTGGGAAGGGGGACCTGCCCTCACCAGCACCTGTGGGGTCAGGGGGCCTTCTTCTATCAGGTTCCAGCTTGTCGCAGGACTGTGCCCGCCGTGTCCTCTTGGGCTTCAGGGGGGCAGTCCGGCGACCTGGATCAGGAGGCCCTGAAAGAACAGTCAAGGCAAGCCTGGCACATGAGTGGGCTCACAGGCTGGGTGTTCATCCAGGCTGTGACTCCTGGTTGTCATTCATTCCATGCCCTCAAAGAAGACCTGCTATGGACAGCAAAGTCCCAGAGGTGCCCCGACCCCTCTACTCAGCTAGGGTGGCAGACCTTGGACCTCAGGCTCCTCTTGGTCTTGCTGTGAGCCCAGCCGCAGCCGGGGTTTGTTGACTCCTGGGATTGCACCAGCAGCTTCCACCTCCTCCCTGCCCCCTGGCTCCTGGGGGGGCCGGCGGCCCCTGGGTACAGCCACTGGCTTGGGGGGCCGTGGAGCTAAAGGGGGGTCCTGCAGCTGGCAGAAGAAGGAAGATGCAGGTCAGTTCATTCCTTTGCCTCATCAGAGTGCCTTCCCCACCCGCCTTGCTGGTCCTCACCTTGGCGTTCCTAGCTGGAACTGTCCTCTCTGGGAATAGGGCCCCCTCCTTCTCCTCCTCCCCGTCTTGGGAGGCTGGGCTGGGGCTCTGGCAGCTGTGGTTGGGGGCACTCTCCTCAGCTGAGGGATGGCAGAGAGGAGAAGCTGCAGGAAAAGGCATTCTTGCATGGCCCTTCCTGTCTCCTCTGCCCTTGAAGCCCTAGGGGCCAGAACTTCCTCCTCCAAGCCCATTTGCTCTTACATCTCTGCCTTTGATGTCCTCTCCTGCTGCTACCATTTCCTTAGCCCCAGGTCCTCAGGATGGTCCTGAGGCCATCACCTCTGGAAGGGGCTCTGGCCTGGCTGCCCTCTTGCAGAGCAGCGCCTGAGCTCTTTCCTGCTGGGCAGAGCCAGGGCACAGGGTCTGCTGGGTGCACAGGCGTGGCTGCCCATCCAGGGCTGCAGTGCCCCGGGCCCCTGCCAAGGCTGCAGCCTGGCATTCCCAGAACTCTGTCTGACAGTCTCATTTAGATGAGAGGTGCACTGGCACACTCGTCCCCTGCCCCTGTGGCTTTAAGCGATACGAGCCTGTGGGTGTGACACGGGAAGGCATTGTCTGTGAGGTGCGTGTGTGGTGGAGCATCTGACTCTTGTGGTTTCCTAAATGAAGGATGGAGCCCTGTTTTGGAAGCTTTAACAAGTCTGTGTGGGATGGGAAAGTCAGCAAAGAAGTCCCCAGTGCTGGGTTGGCCTGGCAGGGGTTGGGGAAAGATGAAGCAGGGGGCAGAGACACCAGCTCTGTACCACAGGGAAGGGAGGGGCAGGGGCAGGATGGGCGGGAGGGGACAACAGGGAGCATGGGGCCCAAGCCACACTCACTTGCTCAGCTCCTAGCTCTTTCTAGCCTTTGCCCCTAGCCTGGGTGTGGGAGTGGAGGAGGTGGGGGGACATCTACATCTACAAGGAGATTTTGTCCATGTCAATATTGTTGGAGGGTCATATTCCAGGCCTTTGGGGACGTAAGCTGATGCTGAGCTGACCAGCATCAACCTTCTGAGTGAGCTTTTCTTTAGTGGCTCCTTAAGTGGAAGGAGCTTTGAACCCAGAAGAAGGTAAGTGTCATACCTGGAATAATGGCCCTCCCTTCTGTTTCTCTAGTCATGGAGCCAGAAAGTAAATGACTTAAGTTCATGGGTGGCTGAGGAAGACTAATACCCAGGGTTTCTGCCCTCCAAGGCAGAGCTCTTGCCCCTTCTTTGGGGTACCTTTCTGCGTGAGCCGAGAGTGGGCTGATGAGCTATTTCTGGAGGAGGCTGAAATGTTTTCGGGTGGGCCTGGCACAGCTGGCACCGGCCGGCAGTTTGACTTGCTCACCCTCTGCCCAGCTAAGGCGCGGAGAGGGGTTCTCTACAGAGGGCACCACTGCGCTGAAGGTGACCAGAGGCGGCACCTGCCCTAGAGAATTCACAGGAGCCTTCCACAAAGCATCATTCCTCTCTGCCAACCCTGGCGGGGCCACTTTCTGTTCTGTAGAAGCTGTCTTTGCATAGGGTTGTTTGTCTCATTTGGATGTCACTTTGTAACTATCCTTAAACATTTTCACTGTGTTGACTTCTCGCTGCGCCACCTTGGTCGCAAATCCCCCAGCGCAGGGGTCCTGGCTCCTGTTTCTTTGGACACACCCCGGGCCTTCAGTGCTGCTGCCCGAGAAGAGGCTCTCCATACCTATGTGCCACGTGGCCTCCGCTCGGCGCATGGCGCTGAAGCTCGGCTTGGTGCTTTGGGGTGGTGGGGGGGGCTTCCAGGCTCCAGGCCCTGGAATGGAGGGAGAGGGTGGGGCAGCGGAGGAGGAGGAAGGGAAAAGGCAAATCAGGAGGAGTCCCTGAGACAGGGGGCAAAGGAAGGGAGTGAGGCTGACCGTTCTCACCTGCGTCATCCGAAGAGCGCCGTTTCTGCCAAGCCTGGGTGCTGCCCTCCAGGTCTGGGCCTGTGCCCTGAAAGGACAGCTGAGTCAGGGCAGAAGAAAAGTCCTCTCCGTGGAGGACTGCAGCTGACAAAGGTCTTCTGCTCCATTGCTCCATGTCAGTAGTCCCTAGACACTTGGCCAGTGTTTCCCAAAGAGTGGCACCCATACCACCCTAGGGGCACAAGAAATGGTCTACACAAATAACATACTGTCATCTTAATAGTCATATGTTTATTTTATGTGTAGTAGAAAAAAGCAGGACTAGTACAAAGAGCCCAAGACTTTAAAGATGATAATGCTTAGGTTCAGACTACGTTAAAAAAAAAGGTGAGTTGATTTAAATAAAAATATACACATAAAAATTCAAGTGGCACACGGAAAAGGAAAAAATCAGGCATAAAGGTTATAATCAAGTCACCAAGTCTGGGAAACAGAGCTCTAGAGGTAAGTACTTTTATGACCCCCATTTACGAGAAGGAAGTAGAGGCTCCAGAAGGTTACGTGACTAGTCCAGGATTCCCTGGCAAGTGTGTGGCAGCGACGGAACTGCAGTTAACACCTTCTAACGCCAAAGCACCCGCTTTCTCCATGGAACTGCCACGGATGTGGGAGCAAGAAGGGGAGGGTGGCCGACAGGGACCACCAGGACCCTCGGTGTGCCATCCCAGGCTCCCCTCACCTCTCGTTTCCCATCGAAGCTCCAACCTTTGGCTCTTTCCAACCCAGGAAGGGCAACTCCGTGTGCCCTTGGCTGCTGTGCTGTCCCAGGGGCTGGGCCCCCTTCCCCTGGCTCTGGTCCCTCGGTGCCCTGGAACAAGGTCTCCTCTTTATAACAGCTCCCGATGGAGAAGGGGCTCCACAGGCAGCAGACAAGTTGTGGGAGGGCCCCTGTCCCACTGAGCCCCCAGCCCTGGGGAAGCCTTGCCTACACCCTCTGGGCAGTTCTCCCAGCGCCTCCATTTGCATATGGCACACGCACATGCTCTGGGCCACCAGGTCTTGGTCCACTCTCAAGGAGAGGGGAATTGCAATGACCAATGTTCCCCAGAACCCTGGGTCCTAGCCTTCTCCCGTTAAGCTTGGGTGGAGTCGGGGGACAGGCTCTGTGTGGGTCAGGAGAGGGGGAGGGTGCAGCACCCCCTGCCTCAACTTACCATCTTCCTGCGGAAGGAAGGCCCTCGGCTCCCCCCAAATCCAGGGAGGAGGCTGTTCTCCTCCTCTGGGCTCCAGCAGGGAGAGGAGTTATTGCCAAGGCTTGGGGGGTCTGGGCTGGGGGGGCTCTCCTGAGTCGGGGGTGGGGGTGGGGGTGGAGGGAGGAGGAGTCCAGCTGTAGGGGACCCAGGCCCCCTGTCCCCCTTGAAGCTCCGGGGCCGGCGAAAGTGAAACAGGCCTCGACGCCTCTTCTTCTGGAGCGGAGGCAGCGGCGGCTCCGAGAGGCCTGGCCGCACGGTCCTCAGAGTCCGGGGGTAGCTGTGCAGAGTCGGGGTGAGTCAGTGACAAACGCCAGATGCAGAGCCTAATCCTAGGTCTGATGAGCCTCCTGCTTTCCTCTCTCATCTAACCTCTCCTGCTGCACTGCAACCCGTTCCACTCAGTTCTCAGGGGAGACGGTGTCCTTGCCTTCCCTGCCCTGCCATAATCCTCAGGCAGCTCTTTCCCCCAAATCAACTCTCCTTTCAGGCACCTCCCCCTGCCTCCTTCTCTTGGCTTCTCCAAGTGACCCGGCTCCTCCCGGACAGACGCTGGGCAGTCTGTGTAGCACAGTGACAGGGAACACTACCTTCTGGACCTTTCACCACCAACGGGCATCCTGTTCCAGGTCCGCTGCCAGCCACCTCCCTCCCACCCCCGCCCTGTCCCCCCATCCCATTGTGGTGGTTCACTCTGGTCCCATTCTTTCCAGCTGTTCTGAGAAGATTCAGAGGCCATGGGAGCTAAGGGCTGTGTGGGGAGGGATGAGAATGTGGGGAAATGTCCCAAAGAGACTAGCTTTAGGGGACCAATGCTGGAGAGGCTGAGGGGACATGGAAGCCCTCCCAGGGCCTCAGGGACTGTTGAGAATGGGACAGTGTTTAGGTGTCACACCTGGAACTTTCATCCATGACCCTTCGGCTGAAGAAGTCCTCCAGCCCCTCATCCAGGCGGGTGGCCATCCCATTCTCCTGACGAGTCCCAGGTACTGGTACCTGCTGGAAGCAAAGTCCTATGGAACATCTCATCGAGGTCAGAAAGTCCCACCTCCCTTCCACTCGGGGCATTCCCCTTTGGACTTGGCCCCATGGAAATTTAGACTTATGTTCACCTGGGTGTTTCCTAAGCTTGGTGGCTCTTGGTGCTCTTGGTGGCTTTATCCTTCACCAAAGTAAGCACAACACTGCCTGGCAGACAGAGATTTCTTATCTGTGACAAGGTCTAGCTGTCGTCCAGACTGGATAAGCCCTCATCCGTTCAATGGCATGCCTGGGCTCCTGCCCGACCCCTCAAGGCTAGTGTCACAGGCATTTGGGTCCCGAAACTAGAACCCCTAACTCTGACACTGGTAAGTGAAGTTGGTCCTCTTGTGAGGCCTTAGGGACTCACGCTGGGCCGACCAGGTCCTGGAGGGGTTGTCCTGGGAGGCCGGGGCCTCCCTTGTGTTTGATGCCTTAGTTTATAGCCATGAGTGGGCAGCTCGGATAGACCTTCCCAGGAGCCACTAGTGGTTGGCTGGCTGCCCCCGAGTCCTGAGAACCAGCCAGGGGGGATGCCCAGGCTCCCCAGTTGGCTTTCCATGTCCTGAGGGCTCCCACCTGTGGGGACAGCAGCATTAGAGGGGGGACAGGGAGGAAGCAGGATGGAGAGACAGAGACAAATGGAAAGGAAAGAGGGCCTGTGGAAGGTGTGGGAGTACGGAGGACATGAGAACCGAGGCTGGGAGACTCACTGATGAAGGCAGATACTGGCCGGATCTTGCGGCAGCGTTTCTGCTTTTTGATGGCCATAGTGTCCTGCAGAAATGGAGAACAATGGCGGGGCCAGGTCACAAGTCCCAGCACCTCCCCTGGAGCCTCCCATTCCTCACAGAGCCTTCTCTTTAGAGCCCACCCAGCCCCTCTCCTCAGGGGCTGAGGCCCTGGGAGGAGGGAAGAGGCTGGGCCGGGGCTGGGGTGGAGGAGGGTGGCATTAGTAGGGTGCTGAGGGAAGTCCAGAGAAGTGAGAGGGGACAGTGCTATGCAGGTTAAGGAGGGGAGCGAGGCAGTGGGAGGCTCACAATGTTGGTCCCAAGTTCATCATCTGTGGTCTCCTCGTGCTCATGGTTCCGGCCTCGGCCCCGAGAGGACGGGTCCTGTCCTTGGCCTGGCCCCCCTGGTGGATCTGACAGTGTCCTTAGCTGGGTCAGGTGCCGGGCCTAAGAAAGGACAGGTGTGCACAGAATCCCAAGGAAACTGCCCACCTCCCAGGGCCATGAGGGGGAGGGTGGTCAGGGAGATGGGACGGTGTGGGGTGAGGGGTGGAGCCGTGGCCACGGCTGGGGTTCAGAAGTCCTACCAGGCTCTTGTGGGAGTGGTATAGCTCCTGCAGGATCTCGTCCACTATGGAGTTGGTCAGATAGGTGACGACCGAGAGCTTCACTTCACTGTGGGTATAGATGGGGTTACTCAGACTCCGTTCCCTGCCTAGCCCTGAGCCTCACCCACTCCCTTCCCCAGAAGCCTGAGAGAACGAGCCAGCTAGCCTGGCTGCCCGCGGACAGCATGGCTGCTGGAGGAGGCACCCTGGGCCCACTGCACTCAGGTCTCCACAAATACACATCTAGGCCCACCCATGGACACCCAGCCCAGCTGTGCGTGGGCAGTGAGGAATTGGAGGAGGTGAGGGAGGAGCAAGGGGGCTGCAGGTCAGGCCAGGAGCCCCATGGGGCAGAGCTAGGTTAACTGGGGTGCTAAGTAAACCCTGCTGGTTGCTACTGTGAGGGTAGAAACCAGCACTTCCTGAGCCTGGCTGTTTCACAGGTACGTGTGCTAACTTCCCTTTGCTTAGGTGAGTCATGAGTCATGGCAACCATACCCAGAATGAAAGAATTCTACAGGCAATGAAAACTGGGGGAAGACAGTGTTTCCATGCACCTGACTTGCATCACTTTTCTTTGCTCCTGCCTCTGAGGAGGCCGTGCTTTGTTTCTAGGTGACTCCTGCTGTAGGGGTGTGTGTGTGTACCTGTGTGTGTACACCACCTGGCTCCTAATCTCAGCTCAGCACTTAGATTTCTAGGGCAAAGACCAGTCAGACCCTAAATAGCAAGGTTGCATTTGGTTAAAGATTTATCCCCTGTAATGGAGATGGTGCCATTCATTATTCATTGCTGATAGCTCTCCAGCCCCAAGTCCCTGAGTGCTCTGGGCCAAATCCAGCCCCATTGACAGCACCACCCTTTGAGGCTCACTCCAGCTTGTTCTGAATGTCCTGTCCCGCCTGCTCCAGCAATGCCCCTCGGATGAAATTCCGGGGCACAGTGACACGCTCCGCCACATTGCTCAGCATCTTGTTGTGCCCCTCAGCCACCCGCATGGCCACAGGGCATAACTCCTGTGTTAGGCTGACCATGGACTCCAGGATCACCTAGCGTAGGGAGAAAGGGGCCAGACCCCCAAGGGGGGTAGGGTCAGGCCTGGCGCCACAGCAGAAAAGACTTTAGCCTATCTAATCCAGCCCTCTATGGTGAGACTGACAACCTGCCTGAGGTCACAGAGCTGTTAGCGACAGAGCTTTGGACGCTCAGCCTTTCCCATTGGTCACTGCTCCTTCTACCCTACCATATAGATGTGGTGAGAGTCAGTCCTAGGATCAGAATCCAGAGTCTAGGGGCCAAGGTCAAAGCTAGCAGAAAAAAGTCCAAGCCCGATATGTAGCAATGCCTTGGCACAGTGGGACTGTGAGTGGTCTCAACTCTGTGCATGTCCCTCTTGCCCTCCAGTAATCTTCCTGCCCTGACTTCAGCTCTTAGCTTGGGCCCTTGGTCAACACTGGTCTCCCACCATGGCCTCCTCCCTCCCCCAGGACTTGCCTGCAGCTCCTTGTCCACGGCCTTGGACACCTCACTGGCTACTGATTCTAGCCTCTGCCGCACAGGCCCGTCACTGGCTAGCACGTGGCCCAGCTCGTAGAGGCTGGGAAACAGCTGGGGAAGGAAGGGTTATGATTAGCAGGCCAGAATCAGGCCTCACTAGGTCCCTGGGGGCCTTGGGCTAGGAGGTAGATGCACAGGGCAGGGCCTGAACACTCCTGGGTCAGCATGCTTGGCCTTCTTGGGTTCTCCAGACTATGGGGCAAGGCAGGGCTACAGAGGGCTCACCGCCCGGGAGTTCTTGGCATCCTTGATGAGGTCCCGAGCATAGAGCAGCTCATCCTGCACGGGCTCCAGGGGGCACAGCCGCAGGGCCCGCACCTCCTCCTGCACTCGTCCACATAACCGCTGCAGCATCTGGAGCACGGTGGCAGGAGTGTCAGGGGGACCCCTTGGGCAGTGCTACTGGTGCCAGCACTGACAGTGGTGGTGGCGATGCCTCTGGATAGCCTGGTCTCTCTCCTTGGTGTGTGGCCTCTTTAGTGCCCAGGCAAGCTCCCCTTGTCTGCGGGCTGCCTGCTTTTTGCCCACTTACGTTTGGGGCCCACATTCCACATGCCCTCTCTTTTTGCTCCCCACATGCTCTGTCCAGTGATGGACACCACATGATGCCTCTCTATGCCCCCACGCTCTCTGTCATATCGTGCCTGCGCCATGCATGCCCCACACGTGCCCCACGTGTCCTGGAGGGAAACGTTTACTTGCTCGGCGCTGCTGGTCACCAGGCCCTGCTGCAGCCTGAAGGCCTGCTCCTGGGGGCACGTCTGGGAGTGGTTGTTCCTCACGAGGCACCACTGGATCTGCAGATGATGGGGTTGGTGGGGTTACGGCCTGGGGATATGGGCTGTCCCCTGCCCCTTGCTGTCCCACCCTGCTCAGGACAACACTCTCCACCTTCTGCCAGACATCCTCGGTGCGCTCCGGGGCACTGCGGTAGGCTTGAGAGATGTCGCTCACAGGAAAGGACATGAAGCGCAGCGTGTGGTTGCTGTGGGACACAGCAGCATAGCTGGGTGGGGGAACAGGTGAGGAGGCGAGGCCTCTGCCTCCCCTGTTAGTGGGAAAAACCCACCCCTTGTTCATGATTTCCCTCTTCTGTGCCCTTCCGAACACTTCTGTGCAAATAGGTCAAGGAGGCTGGAGTGGGGCTGTGGCAGTTCAGGCCTGGTCCAGGCAGTGGAAGGCTGGGAGCTTGGGTCAGGGCAAGGCCCTGGTCCACTCACCTCTCCAGGGCCCTTGCGATGTCCAGGAAGCCCAGGGCAGATGTATTATTCCGATCCCACAGGATAGTTCTGGGGGAAGGGTGAGCACCAGTTTGTCATCCTTCCCTCTGGTCCCAATCAGGGACTGGGGACACAGCCCTTCCTGGGCCCTCCCTCCTTTCCTGGGTAATGAGGCTGACTCAGAGATGGGTCTGAAGGTGGGGATCTTCTGGAGGCGGGGGTACAGAGCATCGATGCAAGCGGGGAGAAGGTATGTATGTGGGGGAGGGGCTGGGGGTCCAGGTCAGAGGGGCCAGGTGTGGGCCCCACCTGAGGGAGGAGTTGATCTGCAGGGCTTTAGACAGCATCTTGGCCCCTATGTCCTCCATGCCATTGCCACTCAGATCCACCTTGGCCAGGCAGGTGTTGCTGCCCAAGGCATTGATGAGGATGCTGGTACGAAGCTTCAGCCGGGAGTCTGCCACTGACAGGGACTGCAGGGACTGTGTGGGCAAATGGGGGGTTGGGCCTAGTCCCCACAGCCCTCTGCCACCGCAGGTCCCCTCCCAGGCCCAGGCACTCACACAGTCCTCCTCCTGGATCAGCTGCACCAGCTTGTGGAGGATCTCCTCCAGGGTCCTGTGGGGAGTGGGGGCTCAGAGTAGGAGAGGACAGGGCTGGGGTCATGCTATCAGAGGAGGGAGCGATGGCCAGAGGTAATACAGTGAGCCGAGAGGATGGGTGCATGATGGGACGAGAAAGGGGGCCTTACTTGGCCTTGACATTGAAGTTCTTGCCCAGGAAAAGGTGCTTGAGGGACTTGTTCTTGCCAAGTGCAGGCACCAGTGTCAGGAGGTCCGAGTCAAAGCCTGGCCAGCAGATGGGAGAGGCCTGGCCTTGAGGCCTGAGGGTCACTGTTGTCTCGTCAGGGCTTCTTCCCCATGCTCAGGACCGTTTCCCACCTGGCCCCCACAGAAGGGAGGGGCCTCTACTCACCATTGTCTGACAGATCCAGGCTGCCTACACAGGTGACAGCCCCCAGCTGCTCCTGCAAGGCCTGGGCTCCTGCTGAGCGGAGCTGCAGGGACAAGGTGGGGTGGGGAAGGCAGGGGTTGGGGAGGGTGATAGGGCACCTTTAATGCTTAGGGACCAGAGTAGCCAGGACTCAAGGTCACAACAGGACTGAGATGTTCAATCGGAGAGGCCCCTTCTCCACACCAGAGCCTTCCCTCCCTCCAGCCAGAGGCTGCTGTTTCTAAGACAGCTTGCTGCCGCCCTCTGGTGGGAAGGCCTGGAATCTCCCACCCCAAAGCTTTAAGGGCAGAGATACTGGAGACTGAAAAGGAGTGGCCTCCGCAAAGAGAGTCACAGTGTGGGGACTGAGAGGGGAAAGTGGAGGTGTGGCCAGGTCGGGGGTTGCAGAGGGGTAGCTTGGAGGCGAGATGGAGCCAGGAGTTGCCTTAGGTGAGAGCGATGCCTGCTGGGGCGACAGGTGGGGGCTGGGGGCGCACCTCACAGCTGCTGAGGTCCAGGTGCAGGTCACTGAGGTGGCTGTTGAGGGAGAGGCCCTGAAGCAGTGCCCTGTGGGAGGAAGGCAGGAGGCCCAGCTTTACCCCTCCCCGCTCCCCGTGGCTCCCCTGGACACCCCCAACCCTGCACCCACCCGACCTGAGGGCCTCCAGGGGCAGCTTCGTGGCCGACAGGTTGACGTGGCTCAGCGTGTAGGCGCTGCTGAAGAACTGCTTGAAGGCCGGGGGGCCCTCTCGGCACTTCCTGTGGAGACCCGTGGGGTCAGCGAGGGAGGGAGGGGTGGTGCGGCTTGCCCCGGCCCTCCCTGCACCCCTCCTGCTCCCACCTGTGGGAGCAGCTGTTGCGAGCCAGGTTGAGGTAGGTGAGGTGGGAGCAGCAGCCGTGGAGCAGGGCACCCAGAAGCTGTGGGAGAGACGCGGCGGGTCTCAGAGGTGCTGGGAGGGGTGGGGTGCTAGGGCCAGGACTCCCTGTCCCTCCCCATCAAGGTCAGTCTGTGTGTGCTCCACTATGGATGTCCACTCAGTTCCCTCAAGCCTCAGTTTCCCCTCCTTGGAAAGTGGGTCTGCTCCCTGCCTGGCTCCCAGGGGTGGGGAGAGGCTCTCAGACAGTGGATGTTAAAGCCAGGGCCACCAGTGGCTCCCAAGGTGCCTTTGATGAAGGCAGGGACAGCATCCCAGCCCTGTGCCGGGTGCACAGCTAGGGAACGGGGCAAGGGCTGGCTCTCAGGCACAGCCAGCACAGCCTTGTGACCTGGAAAAGGGCCACACAGGTGCGAGCTATGGACATCGCTTTATAATTCAGCTGAGCTTGAAGTCATCCCAACCACTCTGCTGACTTTTTCACTCAGGGACGGGGGGTGTGTGACACAGAGTCCTGCCCTGGCCTCCCCAAATCACCTCACAGGGGCTCCCCACTCCCAACCCCTCACCGAGTCGATGGCGCAGTCAGTCCCGGACAGGTCCAAGTGCACCAGGGCGTTGGGCTGGGCCAGGAAGCTGTAGAGGGCCTGGCGAAGGAAGGACAGAGGGGCTGCGGGGCAGGGGCAATAGAGTCCCGCCACTGCCAGGGGCCCGAGGCCTGAGCATGCTTCTCAGGGGGTTGAGGTGGTATTCCGTGGACTCACATTGGCCTCGTCCGTGGCGAGCAGCCCAGGGTTCTTGCTCAGGTCCAGGTATCGCAGGGAGCTGGCAAAGGCCGGGTTGGCCCCGAAGGTCTGGCCGAGTGCCTGGAGCCCTGAGCACAGCGGGCACTGGGCTGGGTTGGCCCCCATCCCCACAGCTTCCCCTCAATACATAACTCCCCGCTCCCAAAATGTGGCTCCTTTTCCTTCCTGATCCTGGGGATGGTGTATGACTGTGTGGGTATACCACTTGGCTCAACAGCCCAGGCAGCACTGGGGTGGGTCAGAGGTCAGAGGTCAGGGGTCCCAGTGCAAATACCTCGAGGGGAAATGGCAGTCTTGGCCAGGCACAGTTTGGTGAGGCCAGTGGGGAAGCAGAGGAGCTGTTGGCTCAGACTGAGGAAACCTGGGGAGTGGAGAGAGAAATAGGCCCAGTGAGAGGCTGGGCAGTGGGCACTGGTGGTGCAGTCAGACTGGGGGCTTGGTGGGGTACAGGCCTGGGGTTGAGGCTGGAGGTGTTGGGGCAGGGGCTGGAACCAGGCTGGAGAGCCCCTCATCAGACCTGGGATGGGCTCTGGGCTAGGACAGGGGTCTGCATTGTGGTGGGGATAGGATTCAGGGCTGGGGCTCACCCTTGTCCTCGATGGGGTTGTGGGACAGAGTGAGGGCATGCAGCACACAGCTCCCGTTCTCCCCAAACACCCCGGCCAGCTTCTGGACAAAGTCCCTTCAGGGAAGGGGAGGAAGGATTTGTCCTGAGCTGAGCCCCAGGTCCCAGCCTTGGGCTTCCCCTCCTCCTCTACCTGTCTGCCTGGCGGGGGCTGCAATGGTCAGAGGCCCCCATGGGGAGAGCAGCTTGGGGCCTGCCAGGGAGCTTGTCACCACTCTGGGGTACCTGGGAGCATTACACACTTTGGGAAGTTGTGCTGAGACAAAGCTCAACTTTGGGTCCTCAAGACCAGAGCAGCCCACCCTGCTAGGCGGTGGATGGAAGAAGGAGGCGGGGCCATGGAGCACTCTGGGGACAGGCCACGGAGCCAGGGGCAGGAGGCTTAGGTCTGAGTCTCAGCTTGACCACTGACTTGCTTTGTGCCCTCTTTGGGTCTCAGTCTCCTCTTTTGTAAAGTGAGGAGCTGGATGAGATAGTTTGAGGCCCGTTTTGTGCTCTAAGGTTCTGGGACCCTAGACTATAGCAAGGGAGCACTACTGCCCAAGGAGGAGGCTGGCCTCACGTCTTAAGCCCAGCGTTGTCCAGCACCAGCTCTTCAAGGCTCCCCGACTTGCTCAGGGTGTGTAGCACCTGTTCTAGCACTTCAGAGCCCTGAGGACAGAGGGGGTCCTGCAATTAGGGGCCAAGGAGGGTACTACCCCCCTCCCCAAGCCCTCCTGGTTCCTACCAGCCGCAGGTCTTTGCAGTAGAGTTTGGTGAACCACTGGTTGTAGGCCAGGGCTGCGACCATTAGGGCCAAGTCTCTGTGGGGATATGGAAGGGGCAGGGAGTTGGTGAGGAGGTGGCTGGCACAGGCAAGAAGAGACCAGGGATGGGGGGTGTTGGGCTGGGAAAGCCTAGATGGGTGGATGGCAGTGGGGATGGGTGGAACTGGGGAGATAGAGCTGGGGCTGTGGATGGAACCAGAAGGGAAATCCTGGGAAGGGCTGGACTGGGCTGAGGCTGGGACTTTGGGGTTGAGTCTCTGTCCCATCTGCTTACCTGCTCTCCAAGTGGCTAAAATCCAGAAGATTGAACTCCCGGTTATCCTCAGCATGGTAGATGGTGTCCACATCCTTGGAGAGGTGGAACTTGCTCATACCTGCTTCCCCCCTCTTCCTCAGTCCCCTCCCTCTGAGTCCCACCTGTCCCCTGCCAGGTCCCTGCCCAACGCACCCATTGCACCTCCTCACGGCAGTGTAGGCCATTGTAGTCACATAGGGCAGCATAGGTCTCAGAGAAGCCACCTGTGGGGCAGGAGATGGGCTGGCTCCATGAAGGGTAAGGAGATAAGGAATAGGCTTGTGGTTCAAGGAACAGTCAAGGTCACTCTATGTGCCAGTGCCTTGGGTTCCTGCTATGCCATGAACCTCCTGAGGCCTTGGAGCTTGGAGTCCTCAGGGTGGGCAGCCCCCACCCCCAGCAACACCCCATGCACAAAGGGCTCTGGACACAAGGCAAGCCCACTTTTCTCAGTCTGCCCCTGCTCACCGCAGACACTGTGAGTAGTAGATGTGGAAGTTTCAGAGTTGGGGGATGTGTCTCGGGGCCCCTCTGGGGTGTCTGCGTTTCCACGCCGGATCAAACACCTGCAAGAGAAACAAATCATCCCAGAAAGAGCTGGAAGGAGGCTCTCAGTTCTTCTCCTATTATACCTTCTAGATACCCAGGAAAAAGCTAGAGTGGGGACAAGAGAGCTCTTCTTGCTGTCCCAGGAGCCCAGGCCCAGGGGAAGGAGGGAGGGAAGAAGTTTCCCTGTTGTGTAATCCCTTGAGAGACCTCTCATTTGCCACTCACCCAGGGCCAGGGCAGACCTTGGAGAGGGCAGAGCTCACATGTCGTGTCACCTGGTCCACGCTCTCTGCTGATGGCAGCCGCATGCTCACCATGCCACGCTCTGTCTCCACCAGGATCTGGGGGAGAGCGAGTGGCAGAGCCTCAGATTCCCTCCTCCCTCCTCTGGCAGGCTCAGTAGTGGGCCCCTGCTCTGGGGCTCACCTGGTTCTGACTGAGCGTGTTGAAGGCACGGATCTCCAGGACATTGAAGGAGCTTTCCACCTGGGAGGGAGGGAGGTGCTCAGCTCCTGGTAAGGGCCGGGCTTGCCAGGCTCGGGAAGGAGCATGCCAGGTGCTCTGCTGCTCCTCAGCCCTACTCACCTTGGCTGGGACTTTAAGGGGGAAGAGGTGGAGGCGCCAGGAGGTCAGGGCCTGCAGAGAGAGGAAAAGAATATCAGCAGCTCATGACAGCTGGCTGGGCACTGGTGCCCTCCGTTAGTCCTCAGCTCTGGTCTGGGAGTCCCCCCTCTCTCCTGTCCTCCCCTAGGCTCCTGGGCAGTAACCCAGGCCAGTCTGCCCCTCCCCCAGGCGTTGTCTGCTCAGTGCTCACCCACCTGTCTCCCCTGCCCCCAGGCTCCCTCTACTGGTCAGCTGCTCTTGCCAGCCACTCCTCCCTCCTGGCCAGCCACTCCTCCCTCCTGGCCAGCCACTCCTCCCTCCCAGTAAGCCTGATACCCTCACCAGCACTCGGTCCTCAAACTTCTTGGGCTTTGTCTCCAACTTCACACGATGTTGTTGGAGCACAGCTCCTTGGCTCAGGCACCTCCGGATGCTGTCTGAAGGTGGGTGGGGGGCTGCTCAGAGCTCCCCTTACCCTGGCCAGCCCGCCTCCCCAGGGCAGGGGCAGATGGGAGGAGAGAAACAAAGAAGGACAGGGAGAGAAACCTTTCCTTCTTGGGTGACTTTTTTTCTGTCTTTTTGATTTTTACTATTAGAGAGGGAGTGGGGTGTGGAGAAAACTCTGGCTCCTGATGTCCCTGAGTCAGGGGACAGTTGCTGACTGTCTGTGGGAGGGTGAGTCTTACACTTCTGAGGGTGTGAAGGATTTTTCCAACCCGTGCACTACAACAGCCATCACCACATACACAGTGAGTCAGTGTGTGGGGGTGTGGGGGTGTCCCTCTGCCTGTATTCTAGGTGGTCTGGGTGTGAGTGTCTGCCTTTACTACGAGTGTGTGCGTGCCTCTTGAAGATGTCAGGGAGCCCGAGTGTGGCGTTGTGGGGATGGCTGGTGTGAATGAGTCTGCTGAAAGGGGCACAGAGCCAGGCGTTCCTGTATGTGTGTGTTGGGGTGCGGGTGGGGGTGAGGGGGCGGGAAGGAGTTAGTGTTTAAATGAACCCCATACCCATCTGCTGGTAGAATCATCCAGATATTGTGTGTGTGTGTGTGGGGGGGTGCGGTTTCTGTAAAGATGTGTTTACACTCGTCCCATGATCCTGCTTGTGTGTGTGGAGGTGTGGGAAATCGCCACAGTGCAGCATGCCTGCGAGTATCCTTGAGCTTCCTGCTCTCTGCGTGGGCTAGCCTGTGCTCCCGCCTCTGGGGGTCAGGGTCGTGGCGGTGCTGGGGGGGCCGGGCCTTGGCTTGGGCCAGGTCTGAGAAGCACGCAAACAGGAAGCCTTTAGGTATGGGTGGTGGGTAGTGCGAAGGGAGCAGGCTGGGGCGAGGGCTGTGGGAGGCGAGCCGCAGAGACCCTGCTCTTGGTTTTAGCTCCAATGCGGGGCCTCATCCCTGACTCCCTTCTTTGCCCCACTGGCCTGGGCGCTGCCCACTCCTAGGGTTTCTTCAGGGCCAGTTCCGGGGCGGGGCCGGGAGGAAGGAGGGTGTTGGCAAGCAGCGGTCAGGACCAGGGGCAGCTCCCTTCGCCCGGCGGGGCGGGCCGCGCCTGGCCCCGCCCGGCGGGGAAGCAGGGACTCTCAGGAGGGGAGACTGGACGCTTTGCCGAGGGGTGGGCCAGGGACGCTGAGAGTCAGCCCCAGGGAGCGCAAGGGAACTGCACCTGTCACCAAAGAGCGGGACAGGCTGCTCAGGGACGGGAAGGTCCTGACGGGGTGAGGCAAGGAGGGCAGCGGAGGATGCTCCCAGGACAGCGATGCCCAGGCTGGGATGCAGGGGCCGGGGACTTGGAGCCGGGATGCATGGGCGCGGAGGCGTGAGGCACCGGGTGGGGTGTACCGCGGGGAGGAACGCACTGGGTCTGGGATGCTCCCGGACGGGGCGTCCCGGAGACCAAGGCAGCCTCGTACCTTGCAGCTCGCGGGTGAGCTCCACGCTGGCCTTGGCCATGGCGGCCGCTGCTACTGCTGCTGCTGCAGAGGAGCCGCCGCCGCCGCCGCCCGGGAGCCGCGGCACATGCTAGACCCGGCTCCGGCAGGGCCCGGCGCTGAGCGCTGCAGCAGCGGCGGAGCCCGCTCCCGTCAGGGGCGGCTGCGCGAGCGCTCCTCCCCCCGCCTCGGAGAGCTGGGTCTCCCGCCCCGCCCGGAGAGGTGCGGGACTGAGCATGCGCGCCGCGCTGCCGAGCCGCGTGAGACCCCGCGCGCGCTCGCACCGACCCCTCCCGGCCGCTCGCGCGTGAGAGGCCCGATGCGCGTCGCCTGCTGTCGGGGCACCCTCCGGGGCTGGGGGGCAGCTTTCCGTGCCACTCAGTCCTCAGGCACCACCGGCAGAACCCATTTCTTTTGTTCGTGGGTCTGGGTACACCTCCCGGGTTATTCTTGCAGGGCCCCTCCCTTTTCTCCCGCCGGCCTGGATCCGTCCAGCTTGTCCTTGCTGACCCGAGAACAGACTGGGGTCCGAGGGCAACGACGGAGAGGACCTGGTTGGGTCTGGGGGGAGTTCGTCCTGCTTGCTCGCTAGCTGGCTGGCTCGCTCGTCCGTTCGGGGATCCCTGTGGCGTCCTTGACACCATCCCTGGGGGTGTGAGGCCCAGAGTAGCACCTGGGAGTTCCTATGCCACCTCCTCTCAGCTGGCAGCTCTGCAGAAACCTCACCTGCACCCCTGAGCATCACGCTCAGGTCCTGGAGACAGGGAGGAGGGATAGGGGGATCCAGAGATCCAGCCTGCCCAGACTTTTGCTCTCTGCTCAGCTGAGCACCCTACACTGAGAAATGAACACATTGATTCAAAGCAATGCAATCATCTGCATTTTATTTGCACCTCATTTGCAAGTTGTTAATTTCTAACCCTGCTCCTTCCACTCCAGGTTCCTTCTTTCCCCATCTTCCCAATTCCCCCAAGGCCCAGAAAAAAAAAAAAATTGGTCTTTGCCAAGGTAGACTCAGCCTTCTCAGCAAGTCTGCCCTGTGTTCCCAGGGGAAGCCTTTATTCAAGGCCATAGTAACAGTGGGAATCGTCCTAAGACCCTATCTTGCAGGGTCTGGACTGCAGGGAAGGCTGGATCTTGTCACAGGGCAGACTGATTTTGCGAGGTGAGCAGTATGATAAGCAGAGGTTGGAGAGGCCAGAATGAATGCTGGAACAGCACCCAAGAGCTGGAGCCCACCTCTACCCTGTGGGCTGTCTCCAGGTCCTCAGAGGCGGGATGGGGTTCCTCCACCCACCACCACTGTCTCCCCAGTGATGTAGCTGGCATCTTCAGAGCACATGAAAGACACGATGCCTGCACACTCCTCTGGCGTGCCTATCCTGGGGAATAGGAGAAACAAAGAAGGGAGTAAAAATCAAATAGGTCAGGCCCCTCACCTGGCTCACAGGAATGAAATTTGCTTAATCAACAATTATCAGGCCGGTCGGTGGCTCATGCCTGTAATCCTAGCACTCTGGGAGGCCGAGGCGGGTGGATCGTTTGAGCTCAGGAGTTCGAGACCAGGCTGAGCAAGAGCAAGACCCCATCTCTACTAAAAAATAGAAGGAAATTAATTGGCCAAGTAAAATATATATACAAAAAATTAGCCGGGCATAGTGGCACATGCTTGTAGTTCCAGCTACTTGGGAGGCTGAGGCAGGAGGGTTGTTTGAGCCCAGGAGTTTGAGGTTGCTGTGAGCTAGGCTGACACTACAGCACTCTAGCCTGGGCAACAGAGTGAGACTCTGTTCCAAAAAAAAAAAAAAAAGAGAATTATCAGATGATTTTTCAGGACCACTGTACAAGTTTCCTACCTATCAAATAGGGTTACCATGAGGATAAGCTGATATAATTTAGTATAAACATACTGTACTCTATACAAACCATTATATATAGTGTTCAAATAATATAGAGACACACTGTTTATTAGAGAGCTCAGGATACCAAAATCCAAAGTTATATAGATAAAAAGGTGACCAATTATTTTATACTTCACAAAAATTTGTTTCACATGTGTGCATATGACTCAAGTGTCAGAGGGTCTGTGTGACAGTAAATGCTGTGTTTAAAATGATTCCATTTGTAAAAGTTCAATTTACAGATGACTTTTTGAATCTATAATATATTTGTCCCTTAAAGCCAGGTTCATTCCGTCAAAATGTGCTAATTCTTATTGTTTTCATAGTTAGGGAACACTTGAATCTGACTGTCATAGAATGCTGTACAGGTGGGTAGAGTGAGTAACTCAGAGGGCCTGAATTAGTGGTTCTCCATCCTAGCTGCACCTTGCAAGCATTTGAGAGACTTTAAAAAAACAAAAACAAAAACATGCCCAGGGCCCACCTTGGACCAACTGCAGAATCTTTAGGAGTGGAGCCTGAGCCTCTGCAGTTTAAAAAGTTTCCCAGGTGATTCTAATGTGTATCTATAATATGGGTCTAGATCATTCACTGGGGCTCTAGGATGACAATACCCACACTTATTAATGAGTTGTGAACTAGGCCTATGGTTCATGCGTGACATCAGAATGGCTTTGGGAGGATTTCAGACTCTGGGATGTTTGGACCAGTAAGGGTTTAGGTTTTGCTGACATTTATCCTTGAGGGGACAAGATGCAGAAGCTAAAGACCAAGAGAGTACTCAGAAACCAGAAGGTGGAGAAAGGCAGAGAATGGAGAGGAAAGGCAGCCAGGCAGTTCAGCCAGCTTACTGGGCAAGAGAGTAACTTTCTTAGTCAGGCAGAGTTTGGGGCTGAGAAAAGCTCTGCGTTCCTTTTATTTGGATTGTAGGATCATCTACCTGAGCCTTGAAAACATGACTCTTTATTCAAGGGGAACTAAAAAAGCATGGTTTTGCTTTTGGTCGCCACAGATGCCCAGCGGTGGAGGCAAACACCCAGGTGGAGAGAGGAGTCAGGGCTTTTCCCAAGAGCTTTGCTCTGCTGAGCGCCAGACACCTCTGTGTGTGTGCCATCTGCAATGGAAGCAGACTCGCTGCCCAGGCCACTGCAGTGATAAAGTGTTTATGAATTTGTGAAGTCTGGGAGGCAGAGGAGAGCATGCCCATGTTGTCTGTGGGACTGAGACAGTGAGCCGTGGGCTGTGTTAGGGACCACACCTTTCCATCTTCGTTCCTCCTACCCTGCCCCTATGACAACCTTACCTTCTTATCCGAAGGGTTTCTTTCATGCTTTCCTCTTTTGCCTTGTCCATCCAGAACTGCAGGAAGAAAGGAAATCTCTTTATATGCAAGAAGGGGAAACGGAGGGACAGAGAGAGAAGAAACTGCCCATCCTCACATCAACTGAGAGGAAGAATGGAGAGAGAGATTCCCCTTCCCGTTTCACTTTTGTATTTCCCTGGCTCCCAGCTCTCTCCACTGCCCTTTTCCATTTCATTCACTTCACGAGGCATTTCACTGCATCTCTCCAATTCTCACCCACTTAAGGAGATAGGAAACAGTGAGAGTAGAGTCTGAATTCCTCAGTGTCCACCCTCCATCTCAGGAAAGGAGTGAAGGAGTCTGCTCTGGGTAGAGCAGCTGGGACAGAGAGGGAACATGGGAAAGTCCTGCGTGTGTGTGTGTGGGGATGGTGTGGATGGGAGCTTAGGAGTCAGGTATTGGGCTTCCCCATCCAAGATGGGGTCCCAGTGGGGTGCAGGGCTCCCCTTCCTCACCACACTGCTGAAGCTAGTCTTGATAAGTCCAGGTGCCAGGCAGTTCACCCGAATGTTCCTTGGGGCCAGCTCTATGGCCAGGTTCTTGGTGAGACCCAGCAAGGCTGTTTTACTAACATTGTAAGGGCCCAGGCCCTGGGGAAAGAAGAGAATGGGTTAGAAGCATAGTTTCTAGGTCATTCTTGGTTTTTATTATTTGACATAAAGGTACAGCGGTCAATAGGGTATCTCCTGTAAGGGAGGGTCACAGTTAGGAAATTGCCATGTGGATAAACCTCCCCTCCCCGGGGTCATGGTGGCAAGGCATCTATTGTGGGAAGGGTCTTGGTGGTGTGATTCTAAAAAGGGACACAAGCTGCTTTGGGTCACTGGAGGGGTGGGAAGATGTGAGATGGAGAATGGGGTGGAAGTGGCAGACAAAAGGGTTCTTACAGGAAATGGATTGAAGGCTGCTATGGAGGCCACGATCACCACTGAGCCGCCTCTGGAAAAAGAAGAGAGCTGACCTTCTCCCCAGATGGCGATATTCCCTAGCCCCTGGGCCCCATCTCCCCCCGGCTTGCCCTCACTGTCTGTACCCTCGTTTCTCCATTTCCGGCACCACCACCTTCGTCATCAGGGCTGCGGCCTTCACATTAATGTCCAGAATCTGGAGCCAAGAGAAGAAGGAAACAGCATGAGGGAAGAGCGTTGAGGAGGGAAGAGCATTGAGGAGGGAAGAGCGTTGAGGAGGCATGGCGATGATGATTTATAGCGGGCTCCTGTTAGTTAGAGCTGATGCAGATCTTAGTGGTGGTCTACCTGGGCCTTACCGGGATGAATCCAGGGTTCAGGGAGAAGCAGCTCTCACCTGCTGTTCAGCTAGATACATTAGGTTCAGATGAAAAAATGGAGCCTGGTTCATCTTGTGTCCTAACCGGCCAAATAGGATTTGGCCCAGAATAAGCCTAAACACATAAGGATGCCTTGGATTTGAGCTGGGTTTTCTGCATTTCTTCAGAGTAGGGAGAGCCTGGAATTAACCACCTCCCCGACCTGCCCTGGAGGGGGCCAAGCTCCTCAGGGAACACGTGGCCTGTCCTCGGGCACTTGGGTTGCTCCAGAACTTCTTTGGCTTCTGAACTTAGGGAGGGAGCTGCTCTGGGCCTTCCAGGCTGGACTTTCTGGCTGGACATTACTGGAGCGTGGGGTGATGTGGAAGCAGCTCTGGGGCAGCTGGGGCATAGGCTACCATCAAACCC